CCACATTGTTCTCCCTCTTTATGCAGGATCTCCTACATCCCTTCCAAGTCAAGTCTCGTTTTCTATGTCATACAGTATGTACAACTTTACACCTGTGTTTTTTTTTTAACTTAACACTGTACCCTGATCATTTTCTCATGAGACAAAAATTTATAGGGAAAATCCTTGTCAATGACACAGTCATCATATAGAAATAGCAGAATTTATTTCTCTCTTGTTAAATATTTAGATTTCATGTTTTTGTTACCATCAATGGTGCAAAGAATAACTTTCTGCCTAAATCTTTATCCTTATATTAATGTGATTACTTCCTTAAGACAGAGTTCCTGAAAGTATCAACTTACTTTAAATCTTTTCCTCCTTTTTTTCCTTTAAATAATTTCATGTAATTATGAAGTTCCAAAAAGTTCCCCAAATGAAAACAGTACAAGGAACACCCATACACTATCTATCTACATGCATGATTATTTTTCTGAATCATTTGAGGATCACTTACATACGTCACAGCCCTGACCCTACATACTTCAGTGCATAATTCTTAAGAACAGGGATTTTCTCTTGGATAATAACAGTACAGTTATCAACATTTTTTAATGAGGAAGAAATTGAGACACAGGCCTGTTAAATAGCCATTACATATATTTGGGATCCATAGACCAAATCCTCTCCGACTCCCTCCCTTGGAACATTCTCCTCTTATCTCTGTCTGTACATTCCAATCATACTTGAAAGTCCAGTTCAGGCCTGGTGTCCTCCATGACTCTAGCCTCTGAGAGATCCAGAACATCCCCTGTGGGCACCCCTTAATTCTGTACTTCCCAGGGCACTTGGGACCATGCTTGGATTGTTGTATATTTATTTATATTTTGATGTGTACCTCTCATCTCTCAGCCAACTTTTAGGCTGCTGAAGGCCAAGGACCACCTCTTACAATTCTCTCCATAACTCTTCACTCGCCTCATATGCAAGAGATAGCTGGACAATGAGAAAGGCATGCCAAACAAGAATGCCTCCGAATGATGGGGTTGGAGAAAAACATTGAATATAGCACGAACTGCCCAGAAGAAACAACAAATCTGTATTAGAGGAAGTACAGCCAGAAGCCTCTTTAGAAGCATGGATGGCAAGACTTCGTCTTGCATACTTTGGACATGTTGTCGGGAGGGATCAGACCCTGGAGAGGGCCATCATGCTTGGTAAAGAAGAGGGTCGGCAGAGCAGGAAGACCCTCAACGAGATGGATCGACACAGTGGCTGCAACAACGGGCTCCAACACAGCCATGACTGTGAGGATGGCTCAGGCCTGGCCAGTGCTTCCTTCTAGGTACAGAGCGTTGCTGTGAGTCAGAACTGACTTGATGGCATCTAACAACAACGCAACTCTTAGCACCTAGCAGAATGATATGCAACAGTATACAGTCCATAAATGTTTCTTACTCACATGAGAACTGTTGCCTCCAGACGACCCAGAACAGACAGTGAGAAAAAAAAAAAAAAAAATACAGAAAAGTTTAACTTTTAGTTGAAAACCCTCTTAAAGTGAGAAAAAAAGGAACATTTTAAACTGCAGGAAAGGAAATGTAAATATAGTAACATACTTGGCATTTGAAGTAACCATATTTGTATAATCATACTGATAGAAACTTTGATTACTGAATTCACAAAAATTGTGATATAGCTATGTTGGGAGGCTAGAGGAAGGGGAAGTGAGGAAAGCCAGGGAACAAAATCCTCATCTGCTTCCATGGGAAGTCAATCGGTCGCGTCTGGAAGTGATGACTCAAGAGCTAACAGAAGAAAACCACCTGGTAACATGGAGCTCCATACAGAAGACGCAGCTGACCCAGCTGATGGGACCGACTGTGACCCTGGGGCTGTGGCAGGGCTGGAGTGGGGAGGGGCGGCCAAGGACACTGCTGGTTTTCATTGTAAGCGTTTCAGTATTATTTGATTTTTAGATTTTTGCGTACAGTTCTTTGGTAGCATAAAAACAACCACCAAGGCTCCGTTCTTCCCTACCCTTTTTGCCTCATGACAGTTTCTGTGTCCAGTGGACTAGGCTGATGGAGGAGAGCTCCTGCCCCTCTGGGACACGTTCCTGGGAGGAGGTCCTGTGCTTCTAGTTAACTTACTTCTTGTCCCCAAGCCCATCCTTCAGCTGACACCAGTCCCTAATCTCCCCTGAGCAAAAAGAAGGGCCCTGCCCTGGACCGATTCTCCAGGTGGACCCTCTGGAACCGAGGGAAGGCCAGTTCCCTGGATGAGGCTGCTGGCCCTGGTGGGAGATGAAGCACTGCAGGGGTGCCCGAGACTGGCCCCGCCGGGGGTCCAGGCCCTTCCACATTGCACTTCACCACTCAGGCCCTAGAGGCAGCTCTGTGACAGAAGCAGCGTTTTACTTTCCTCCATCTACGGAGGTGGAGGGGGTGTCCCTGGGTGCGGGGTTAATGCACTCGGCTGCTAAACAAAGGCTGGAGATCACCCACAGGTGCCTTGGAAGAAAGGCCTGGGGATCTCCTCCTAAAAAATCGATACTGAAAACCCCGTGGAGCCCAGCTCTACTCTTACACTCATGGGGTCGCCAGGAGTCGGAGCCGACTTGACGGCAACAGTGTGTTTGTTAAAAAAGGGTCCGAGTTCATACAGAGATGGAATGGACACACACTCCCAACTGAGTCAGAACTGACCTCAACTGATGGCTAGA